GAGAATCGAACTCATAACCTTTGATCTCGCAGGTGAAAGCTTCACTTCCTCTAGACTAGTGAGACAGCATCCAATGGTGTCATTGTTGTGGATGTACACTGCCACTGATAAGTCTCATACTAGGAGGAGACGGCCATCCAGTGCTTCCAGGTTTTTAACAGTGGTGATCTAACATTGATCGATTCATAATTTCAATGAAATATTAAATCATTAATTTTAGTTGACTATGTAGAAATTGTTGATATTATAGGTTATAGCTTACTTTATTATTGATTATGTATGAAAATGTGAATTATGTTCGGTGTTGATATGACTGATAGTTGATATACTTGAAGTTATTATGAGTTCACCCTACTCGGTAAACGAACCGAAGACAAATGCTGCAGTGACACAATGGGCTATTCTAATCCGTTGTCTCCAGCTCGGCTAAATACATTAAGATGTCTTGATAAGGCGTAGAAAGTGTATTCTACAAGCACCCAGAAAATATGAGGTTGACAAGCACACAAACCGTGCTTATTTACATATGTTAGAAACGTCCTTGGGAGAGCCACAAAAAATAGCATACTAAAATAATCCATCAGCCAATGACTATCAACGATTTTCCGAGTGGTGAATGCAAGCTGAAGGTCAACTAAACATCTTATGCTCGAAAACATAGAAAAATCCAAAATTAGGACCTTTTCCAAATGAGTTCTGAAGATCTAACACCGCCAACAGTTTATTATTACAATTAAATTTACTTGTTTTAAATAGATGACTAATTGTAGAGCTATTTGAAAATCACCAACTAAATGTACCTACATCTCAGTGTTGATGTTTATATATTAGGATGTACAGAATGTCACAAAATGTCAGAAAATGGTGTAATCGAAATTCAGTCCTAATCAACAACAATGGACTAATTCAAACATTGACTAATCATGATGTAAACATTATAAGTGTTGAACAAGTCAGTATCTGCAATGACTCACTCAATATCTCAATGAATAAAACGTTGAGCACTAGATTCGAGTCTCAATGTAAAATATCAACAATGATATTACTTACTTACTTACTTACTTACTTACTTACTTACTTACTTACTTACTTACTTACTTACTTACTTACTTACTTACTTACTTACTTACTTACTTACTTACTTACTTACTTACTTACGCCTGTCACCCCAATGGAGCATAGGCCACCCACCGGTTTTCTCCAGCCAACTCTGTCCTGGGCTCCCCTTTCCAGTTCTGTCCAATTTTTTTTCATTCTTCTCATATCTTTATTTCTCGGCATTGGCCTTCCTGTTTTCCTCTTGTCTTGAGGGTTCCAAGTGAGGGCTTGTCTTGTGACGCAGTTAGCTGCTTTTAGTAGTTTGTGTCCTATACACTGCCACCGCTTCTTCCTGATTTCCTCCTCCACTGGAATCTGGTTTGTTCTCTCCCTGACGGTGTCTGGACAACTAATCCGAAGTATTTTGCGTAGACAACTGTTAATAAATACTTGTATCTTCTGGATGATGCCTTTCGTAGTTCTCCAAGTTTCCGCTCCATACAGTAGAACTGTCTTGATATTTGTATTGAAAATCCTGATTTTGGTGTTGATTGATATTTGTTTGGAGTTCCAGATATTTTTCAATTGTAGAAATGCAGTCCTTGCTTTGCCGATCCTCACCCTCACATCTGTATCGGATCCACAACAATTATATCCATGTATATTATTCATTTGACTAATTCCAGTTATGACAGAGTAAATGTCCTGGATCCTACTGCTAACCACAATCCAATCTCTCTATACTAATAATGTTTGTGATCTAATGGGACCATATCGAGGCAATTTGTACAGGATGAGAATATATGCCAAATGAGACTGATCAATCACAATACTAAGCATTAGTGCGAAGATTCAAACAATCAAATTTCACTGGGTTAGGTTTTTTTTTTTGTTTTTAACAAAATTGTTTTCAACGAGAAGGAATTGTTAACCTTATGACTGACGCTCTACTCTTATCCCTGCCTGAGACTAGTAGTAAGCTTACAAAGGCTCCAGGCGGAATCCTATATATGTATATAAATAGTCAATTGCTTTTGTGGAGGAAATGATATTGAATGTAGTAGGATTAGACAAATTAATCAATAATCGAATGCGCATCACTTGTGATGTGATCTAGAAAAAGTCCAACATAGTCAATACATGACTTCATTTGATCACACTTAGGCAATAGTATGGTCATATAGTCGAAAAATTTGAGCATTCAAAATAATTTAACATTTTAATTCTTTCCATTTCCTAACAAGATTCTTTCTTGTCTTTTTTTTCAGAAGAAATGTGTAACATTCCTTGATTCATTCATCAAATAGTCAGTTAGCTAGTTAGTTAGTTAATGTTGGGCACGTTAGATCCCCAGAACTCGCTTGATAAATGCCTTATTTTGGATTTCACGTTTGCGAGAATGGGCTGATCAGTTGACCTTGAGATTTCATTTCCCTCCAGGAAAATCCATGGTTGTGATTGGCTGATGTGTATTTTAGTGTGCTATTTTTGTGACTGTCCCAGGGACGTTTGTGTGATATATGAAGAAACGAGAGTTCTGTGCTTGAAAGCATTGTGCTTGCTGCGTGTTTGTAGAATATACTTTCTACGCTATATCGAGACCTTTCATTAGTCAACAGATCAAGGTAGCCTACCTGGACGCTGGTAATTGTCTCGTTCGTGTTTATCGACTAAGGTGAACCCGTAATAGCTTCAAGCGTACTTAGTGACGAACCTAACAGTTAGTTAGTTAGTTAGTTTAGTTAGTTATTCTAATTCATCCAACTAACACATATTAACCCTAATTGTCAGTTCAAATCCCAAAGTGGTAGAGATAGTAAAAGTATTACTGGTAATAGAGAAGATTAGGGTTTGAAGATATGATTCGAGAGGTATAATCTAGTGAAATAAATTTAGAAAGAGACAGAGAGAGATTATGAGGAATTCAGAAGGTTAGAATTTCAGAGAACACAAAGAGTGGATACACCTGCGCCATTGCAAATGATTTTGAACCATGTCATTCATAGTCACTAACCATAGATTACTATAATTTCGCTGACCCCAACCAGGTAGTCGACACCTACCGATATGACTCAGTTCACTTGTCGTCAGTGACTTCATGGATTTGTGCCATGTTTTGAGCCCGGCCGCCCTAACTTTCTTCCAACCTACTCCTATACCAAAAAATATTGCTCATCGAGGTAGTCGGTGTAGGGGCATATGTAACACATGTCCCAACCAATTCAACTGATGATGTTTCACTACTTCATCTATTGATCTGCTATCCTTACCTAGAACTCGTTTCCTAACGAGTACTATAAATGAACTGTTTACCAGAGAAATTACCCTGTACCAATATATATGTATATATATATATATATATATATATATATATATATATATATATACTTGTTCAAGTTTCATTGTTAAACAAGAAAGTAAAATTTATTTTAAAAACTAACTTAACAATTCATTATATAAAATACTTGTAGACTAACTGTAAATCTACATATCATCTCAATAACATTCTTATATAATAAGGAAAAAAAACAATTAAATTATCGAATAGTATGAATTTAGTTTAAATGTGTTTTTTTTAATCTTTTATCAATGATGATTTCAACAAGTACATACTTCTGTTTTTTTTCACTTGATTGTTCAGAAGTAAAAACGTGAAACACACACCTATTAAACGAAATGAATTACTTTAATGATATGTGTTATTGTAATTACCTACTAGTGGAATGTGAGACATGTATTTTGTCAGATTTAGGACTCATCCATTCGATATGCCTGAATACTACTATTGATCTTCATGGTGGGGGCTCGAACTCAGTACTGTACTTTTCATGTACAGAAAATGTTATCCTCTCAACTACTGAATGTAGGATTAAGTGAGGACTAATGATTTCGCATGGTTAATATACAGTTCTCATTGATTACTGACATCGTCCTGAATATGATGAATAATCACTATCAGCAATAACCTACTGTGAGAGAGATGAAACCGAGGTAGAAATCAGGAAGAAGTGTTATAGTTGGTGGATAGGACATATATTGAGGAAAGCATCCAACTGCGTCACAAGACAAGCCTACAGCTGGACTCCTTAAGGTCAAAGGAAAATGGAAGACCAAAGAACACATTACGCCGAGAAATACAGAAATGAAGAAAAATTGGACAGAACTGTAAAGGGAAGCTCAAGACAGAGTAGGTTGGAGATAACTAGTCGGCGGCCTATGCTCCACTTGAGGCAATAGATGTAACTAAGTAAGTAGGTATAATGAACCCTGAGAAAATCATATACCCTCACTACTGCACTTCATACTAACTGAACAGCTGGGTAGCTATTTAAGAAACTCACTAGTTCTATATAAGAAATATTCATTTAAAAAAATTACATTTACATTGAAATCATCAATCAGCGATTGTTGTTAGATCACTATTAGAAACAAAACTGGAAGCACTAGACAGCCGTTTCGTCCTGGTATAGGGCCCATTAAACAGTGCACATCCCCATGACTCCTACTACTTGCAAGATACCAACACAATGATCCAGAAGTTAGGCATCCGTACGCAGGACAGAAGGTTCTAGGTTCGAATCCTGCGAGCTGTAGGAGTCATGGATGAGCACCAGTAGTGGTGTTGGTCTAACAATAATCGACTGATGATTTCAAATACGTTAAACACACTCATCTCCATTAAGTCTACTTGAAAAAAAATGATTACATACATACATACATACATGTTAAAAATTACATTTTTTTTCATTTAATAAATAAATAAAATTAAAAAATAACCAAAAATATCAAATTATTTATTAATTTCATAATGACATAACAAATAGACCTGAAGAAATAGACATGTATAAAATGTTGTGTATGTACACTTTCCGACAGCGATTGTTGTTGTTGTGGTTGTTTCACTGTACCAAAAATGGCATTAAAATCATTTTAAAAAAATAAAATAAAATAAAATAAAATTTTTATCTTGTTTTCAAACAAGAATTTCTTCTGCTTTTTTTTCCACTAACAATTTGTTCTTTCCATATTTGATAAGTTTGTAAAACTAATGTTTTAAATTGATCCACTGGAATTTGACTTAAATCATAATTGTTTAAATCATTTCCAACTGAACCATAATATGATTGATAACATAATTGACGTAATTTTGTCAATTTAACAAAATGTTGATTTTGTTGACAACAATAATTAGGAAATAATTCAATTAAACAAGAACTAGCCGGTAACAATAAACTATACGTTAATGCTGCACCATGCATTCCAATTAATATATCTGTTGTATGCATTAATTGTAATTGTTCTGACATAGTTGTTAAATTCGCTAGATCAATAATCATTGAATTTTGAAAACCGAGTTGTTTTAATGCATTCAATAGTTGTGGTTCATTTTGAATTTTTCGGCTAATATGTCCATTCATATTACGTGGATGCGCTATATAATCACGTCGACTAATGATTATAATTTGTGGTGAAGCAATATTATTATTGTTATTATTATTGTTATTATCACATGGATTTAATTGATAACTTTGAAGAAAAAATTGTCGAAATTCTTCAATAAACATATTTGTAATTAATGGTTTATCTACGTATATAGGACTTGCATAACCATAAGGTATCATGACCAAATTAGCTATATGTAATAAGCCTTGTTCATCGACTGGAAGAGTACGAATTAAATTTGCGTTATTCTTATTACTACTACTACTACTACTACTACTACTACTACTGATACTATGATCTTGTGAACTGGTTGTTGTGTCTTTTCGTCGATAAGCTCCAATTCTTGACATAGAATTACCAAATAATTTATACCAAACATTATCTAAACTTCCAGCTGGATGACCATCAGCAATAAGAATGTGTATATTATTTGGTGTTAATTTTAACAATGTCATTGTTAGAAAAGTATTATACCAATCAGTCATTGTATGATATAAATTGACATATTCCACACGTGTAACTAGAAATACAATCTTTTCCTAAAGAAGATAATGTATATATATATATATATAAAATGTAGATTATTGAAATATATAAATATGTATATATACATATATACATATATATATATATATATATATATATATATATATATATATATATATATAGACATCTATCAATCAAGTCGTTATTTACATATGGATTGACATAGAGGATTTTGTGTGAAGAGTTTATGGATTGTAAACAACCATGGTGAAAAAAAATCAACGATCGGCATAACTCTATAATAAACAAAATTGTACAATGTGCTCACTAGCGGTTAGCTTCATGAGAAAGATCCTCGGAGTTCTAGGGAGAAGAGGTGACTAGTGGAGTTCAACCCTGTCGGATGTAGGCAGTAACTAAAATCGAAGATAAATGGGTGAGGTCGTGAAAAATTCTTAGATTGATTAGAGTTAGACATTAACATCTGTTAGATGAGCATGCAAGACCAAAGTTCCTGGGTACGAGTAGCGGGAGTCGTCAGTTCACTACTGCTGACGAGTGCCACACCAGAACGAAACGACCGTTCAGTGTTTCTAGATGGTATAACAATGATTTATTCACATCTTAGTAACAAACAATAATCTCCAAATCTCTTTAATGAAAAATCGAAAGGCTACTAACAATCGTTTCGTTATAGTTTGTGACTCATCAACAATGTTCTCCATGAGCCAACCAACAATCAAATGCAAGAACTTAAGACCTTGAGTTCCAATCCAGTGATTGAAGTCTTTGGGTTGATGGTCAGACTTTGGTGTTGAGAGTTAAAAAAACAGGTGTAGCTACTAACTAGCGGAATCTGTTCACCGCTAATCACAACAGACAGAATTACAATGAGTATTCTCCAGGTATGATTAGAGGAATACTTGAAACAGTAATCAAAATGATTCGTTGATCTAGTAAATCTAATCAGATTATTATATTTTACTCGCTGACGGATGCTAAACAATCGCTCTCGAAACAAGGCTTGGAAAGATCCATGCTCTATAAAAATCTCAATTCAGTTCACTAAGGACAACCTAACCATAACTTAGAGTTTAAACTCAGTGTTGTATTCACTTTTAAAAAAAGAGCCTGTTTAATAGATGTGATAAGTTATTACGGTAATAAGTTAGTCAATATTATTAGTGTCTGTTCTAACACTAAGCAAAATATACGAATGAATGAGGGATTGACTGTGAGATCATAAAGTCAGTCAGTCAGCCAGTTACAACAACGTAGAACTTCGTACGTACATGCATCAGTTCAAGTTGCCATACCACATTAGCACAGAGAGATTGAATTGTCAATTCGAATCCCATAGTGGTAGAGATTGTAGAAGTCTTAGCAGTAATCGGAGAGATTAGGGATCAACGAAATTATTCAAGAAGTAGAATCTAGTGAAATAAACTTAAAAAGAGAGATAAAGGTTATGTGAAATTCAGAAGGTTAGCATTTGCGAGAACACAAAGAATGAATGCACTTGCTCTATTGCAAACGATTTTGAGCCATGTTGTTCAAGGTCTCTAAACATCGGTTAACTATTGTCTCGCGGACCCAAATCAGGTAGTCTATACCTAGCAACATGACTCAGTCCACTTGTCAGTGACTTCATGGATTTCTTCCACGTTTTAGTTTAACCCCCTAGCTTTCTTCCAACCTAATCCGACAACACAAAACATATCTCGTTGAGGCAGTCGGTTGTTAAACATACGCAACACAAGTTCCAACCACCTCAACTGACTTCATCTATTGATCTGCCATCTTTACCTAGAACTCGATTCCTAACAACAGCACTGCTTACTCGGTTGTCCCAGGATGCACAAACAATGCCTAGGAGACAGCTATGATGTGAGATTATACAATGTATTCATAATCCTATAACTTCACCCTCAGTTGGCATGGGTAATTTTATATTGGTTTTCAGAAGAACCAGACACTGTTAACACCACGGAGTGAACAGTACAGTTCAATTCTGTGGCGCAACCACATTGAGGTACCTGACGCTCTGACGGACCATTTACACAAATCATATGCACAAATAAATTGATGCCAGTTGTTAGTGTCACAGAAACACAGGTACCCCAAGCATTGAGGACAGTGCTTTTCCATCAGGGGGGAGCCATGTAACGCATTCGAAATCTTACTCTAACAAGTTTTAGTTTCGACTATTTAATTCTGGTTTGTGTTTATTGATTTCTCTATTGAATGTAAGTGCATTCTGTGTGTTTACTGAGTTGTCGGTTCACCTCTTTCCCTTGTTCTTTCCTCCTTCAGATAACCTCAGACAATGCTCCAAAGATACCTCCAGCACACAAAGTACCTCCTGGTTAAACGCAAACCAACCAAAATCTGAAGTTACAATTCATTGTTTCGGTTGGGATACAGTTAGCTTACATTCATGCGCATCATACAGTGACTATCCCACTCCACGTACATCAACACGGAGGCTATTCCACCTGATGTAACTAACTCATCAGCCTCACAAAATATAGTGATTATTTACTATCTATGACCGCGTCAGTCAATGTGCACAACATGAACACGTCAATTCGACCCAACCCGCTTAAATAACTGTTACAAACTCACTATTCTTAGCATTAGTGATATACAACACAGCACTCCAATAACAATGGCGCTTGAGAATGTTGCAAAACAGCCAACTACCAGTATCAATGAAATTGGTCACCTTGCAAACCAAAATCGTCTATTGACTATTAGCAAAACTTCCCTAAAGTAATGCCGAATCATTTGCAATGTTCATCAATACGAACTTCTGGTCTCGTAAGAAATCTTCAGCTTTATAAAGTACAACATAGCTTATTAGGACAGAATCATGTTAATAATTTTCATCGATATGTTAGATAAATTAATCAATAGTTGGTGGAAACATTTGTTCAAACAAACTAGACATAAAACGTGATAGCATTTTGAATTACAAGTTTTCATGACTTGGTCATAGTTTATACATGTCATCTTAGAGGCTGTACAATATTTATTGACATATTACGTCGAGATTCACAGACTGGTGAAATAGTTAGATTATGCTGTAGCCTTATAGAATGATATGGTAAGAATCTGTGGATTCACTACAGTTTCCCAAATGGTAGGCTTTCAAGATAATACTATGTATCGCTTCAAATAGAATCTGAAATCATCAATCAATCATTGTTAGACCATCAATAGAAACCTCGAAGCACTGAACGGCCGTTTCGTTCTGGTATGGGACTCATCAGCAGCGCGCATCCACGACTCCTTCTCCTCACAGGATTCGAACCCGGGACCATCGGTATTATGCGCGACCTCATTCATTTGTATTTGGTAGTTACTGCCTACACCCGACGGGGTTGAACTCCATTGGTCACTTCTTCCTCTCACTAGAACTCTGAGAATTTCCTCACGAAGCTAGCCACTAGTGAGCAAGTGTTACGATATTTTCAGTTAGAGTTTTGGAGATTTGTGTTTTTTACACATTTGAAATCATCAATCAATCATTGTTAGACCACCATTAGAAACCTGGAAGCACTGGACGGCCGTTTCGCCCTGGTATGGAACTTATCAGCAGTGCGCATGATTGATTGATGATTTCAAATGTGTAAAACCACAAATCTCTAAAACTCTAACTGAAAATATCAAATACAATCATTCATTATCTATTGATTTGTAGTTTTTCTCGCTATAAACTTCATAAAAAGTTAAATCACTGTCTCTAATACATATTTATAACTTAATAACTTTTGTGTAGTGAGCTGTAACATCATCACCCGATTTGAATGCGTGTGTGTGTGTATGAATGATTTGCATGATGAGTACGCGTATAATGCGATGTAAATACCACCGTTAAGTCCAAATTAGTGTTAGCTAGCTTTGTTCAATTTTTATTGTATAGATTCCATTGTTCGCAACTTAATTAGGTCAAGGACTTTTATGCCTTGATACAATAGCTGTATGATTAAAATAGCAATGTACATAATCATAATACTAATCATGATAGTTTGACAAATCCAAATTTTTTTAATAGATTCAATACAAAAAAGTAAAGGTTGAATTCAAATTCTATTTCATTATCTATGATGTGTTCAATTTTTATTTGAGTGACTTTAGTTATTGTTTAGCCGGACTTTTTGATAGTCGACAATACTGCTGTCTATAAAGAGTTGAAGTTTTCCTATGAGACCAGAAGTTTGCTATGATGAACATTGTGGATGGGATGGCATGGCATTGTTTTGGGCAAGTTTTGCTAACAATCTATATACAAAATTGATTAGCAGGGTGATACTAGTGGTTGTATGGCTACATTCCAGCAGGGTGCTGTATTCCATATCATCATTGCTAACACTAATGAGTTTGACAGTCATTTAAGCGGGATGGGTGGAAATGGCTTATTCATGCGGTGCATATTGACTGACGATGCGATCATGGGTCGGAAATATTCCCTATATATGTACTAGTGTATATAAATGGTGTGAATGGTCCACCAGGGTATCAGGTACCTGTGTGATTGCACTACGGGATTGAGCCGTAATGTTCATGTCGAAATGCTTACACGTGAACAGTCTCCTTGGTTTTTCTGAAAACCAATGTAGAAATGCCCTTGACAATAGAGGGTTAATCTATATAATTGTGAAGCTAAATTTTTAATAAGGTCGGATAATGATGTTTTGGTCTTATGTAGGATTCGTCAGTTGCATATACCTAATACAACCCCTAGTTTTGATGTTCACATGGTGCAGCCAGACTAAAACATGGCACAAATCCTTGAAGTCACTGACAAATGGACTGTGCCGTGTTAGTAGGTGTAGACTAGATGGTAGCAGTCCGCGAGACAATAGTTAACCGATGTTTAGAGACCTTGAATGACATGGCTCCAAATCGTTTGCAATGGCTCAAGTGTGTCCATTATTTTTATTCTTCCAAATTCTAATTTGAACTCCTCATGACCTTTATATTTCTCTTCTCAAAT